TCCTACTAGTCCCTTAAAAGTCCGGGTTTGGACCTGGTCCAAACTAGTTCCCCGTGGACCACTTAACATCCCTAAATGATATATATATTATATATTATTAAGATGCTTTTTTAAATATTTAGCTACATCACGAAGTTATAAAAAAACAAAAATCTAGATGATTAACCCGGGTTAATCAATCCAAAAAAGCATTGAAAAACGGGGGCTTCGTTAAACTTTGCAATATATAAAATATATATATCAATATACAATGTACAACATGTTATTTAACTAGTAGTTAAATATCTACAGTATATATACAGTATATATATACAGTATATATATATGGTTGTATATTTTGTTGATGTTTATTCTTTTAAATTAAACAAGTTGATTATTGATTTTAAAACTTCCTGATGTAAGCTGTGAGAGACTGGAAATACCAACTCAAACAGTGAAATTAAATTGTTAAAAAGATTATTTGGACAATTTGAACATTTAGCCATTTAGACAATGTCCAATTCATAAATTTTTATTGAACATTAATTATATACAGTATAATAAAAATATAATTACATATATATACAGTATATAGTACATCTTATATATACTGTATATTGATTTCTATAAGCTACTTACTGCACATCATAACATTCATCTTAGTATTTATTTACTTTCATTTACCAATTTACACTTTTAAATTATGTTTGATACCCGCTTTCTCATATAGTATTAAATTGAAGCAGTTTTAACCTAGAATAAATTAAGTATATATATATATATATATAACTGATAAATTAGTACGTAAACGATCATAAAATACATATAAAAAGCCGAATCAAGTTATTGTTTATCAGACTCAGCCCTTAATCATTAAAACAAACCGTTTAGAAAACTAACGTCGCTGATCAGATTTTTTTAAAGGAACCGAGTTGACTTAATAAGTGATATTTGCAAATGAGGCTTATTAGGTTTTAAAAATTCTATTGCATTTGAAGCAATATGGCGGCATCCATAAGTTACCTTAAACCAGTATTATATTGTATATAGGGTCCTTGATGATAATAGCATTTGGTATATATTATTTTGTATTTAAAATTCCTATAACAATACTGGTTTAACGTAAATTTATGAATGCCGCCTTGCATAAAAAAGAAGGGGAATGCATAAAAAGAAGGGGTACGTATGTACGTAAAATAATAGTAATAATATTTTATTACTTTTACAACGACCGACAGTGTTGGCTGAAGTTGAAAGTTTAACCTATTTTATTATGAAAACTTTTAGGGTGATAGATTAAAATTTAGGGAAGAGCTTAATGGTAGATTTTAATAGTTTATGTATCTAAATAGATACCCCAAATTTTAAATTTCAGCTTCAGTCACCACGATGATTTAAAATTATCTCCTCTATTCATACCACCTACGCATCTTTATACAAATAATGTTTTTTCGATATTTGTTCAAAGATAAGATCAAGTGAATTTTTGATACTAAATGATATAAACGCAACCAAAATCTGTGAAACCTTCTTTCACAAACAACCCTAGTATCACAAACCTAAAAAATTTCGTAATTTAAGGTGTAACATAAAATCAAACAAAAACACACCCAAACCCTAACGTTAACATCAATTCCGAGATTTTTTAGGTTGGGGTCTTACCTTATAACCCTTAAAATGGTTACCAATCTTATCCAAAAAGAACCAAATTTTGATTGCGCTAACTTATTTCTAGTACTGTTGGCTATAATGCTTCATTGAACCTGAACTAACACTGAACTTTAATCTTGGATTCAAGATTCGACAAGATTCAAATTGAATCCATCCTGAATTTGGATTATGATATTATATGTACGTAGACTTTTTTCTAGGCTATGTTGACCGTTCCTTCCTTTATTAGTGTCATTTATTATAAAAATTTTTGACTATCGTCATTGTGATATAGAGAGGGATTTTTTTTATGGAATTTTCCGTTACTGAAGACAATGATTGCTGAGCGAAATTGTATGTGAAACAGCCAAAAGAAGATACTCGCTACCATACATAGATAATTTCACCCTCCGTTTTTTTCAAAAGAGTATTTACGGTAACATGTGAATACTTACACACTTAACAAATAGTAACAAAAAATATGTAGTGTGACTTATTCGATTAAATTGGCGAAATTAACACTCAAAATGCATATACATAAGAATGCCCATGCTCATTGAAAAAAAATTCGAGTTATTGATTCTTTATCTTTCATTTTTAATCTTAAATTAATCTTAAATTAATCTTAAAATAATGTCATCAAAGAAGAGAACTGAGGATGATGAATATGTACCATCTGATAGATCTGAAAGTGAAGAAGAAATTTACTCAAAACCTAAGTCTAATAATGGTCATTCATCGAAGAAAATTGATGATGGTAATGGTTCTCATGATTCTGCTTCTGTAAATAAGCATCAAAATGAAAAAGATAAGAAACCTAAAAAGAATAAAGACTCATCAAGTGATGAAGATAAAAAAGATAAAAAATCTAAAAAGAATAAAGATCCATCGAGTGATGAAGATAAAAAAGATAAAAAATCTAAAAAGAATAAAGATCCATCGAGTGATGAAGATAAAAAAGATAAAAAATCTAAAAAGAATAAAGAACCATCGAGTGATGAAGATAAAAAAGATAAAAAATCTAAAAAGCTTCAAGATGAAGAAGATAGAAAAGAAAAAAAATCTAAGCTTCAAGATGAAGAAGATAGAAAAGAAAAAAAATCTAAGCTTCTAGATTTAAAGAGTGACGAAGATAAAAAAGAAAAAAAATCTAAAAAGCATCAAGATTCGAATGAAGATAAAAAAGAAAAAAAATCTAAAAAGCATCAAGATTCGAGTGACGAAGATAAAAAAGAAAAAAAATCTAAAAAACATCAAGATACGAGTGACGAAGATAAAAAGTCTAAAAAGAAAGATCCTCTCACTCTTGCTGAAAAAGAAGCTAACGCTGAGGCTGAAGAAAAGATCTTGAAAATGGTACCATTACCATCTACAAGACATAAAGTGAGCAATAAAAATAGTTGTGTCATTGGATCACTTAATATTCAATCATTTGGTGAAAAAAAATTTTCAAACGAAGCTGTAATGAGAATTATTGTTGATATTCTTAAACAATATGATATTGTTCTTTGTCAAGAGATTCATGTACCAGAAGGCCGTGAAGAAATGATTGATAAGCTTGTTAAAGCAATGTCGACTCCATCCACTCCTTATGCTTATACCATGTCTAGACCCATCGGTAGAAATTCTTATCAAGAAAGATATCTTTATTTATATAGAAAAAATGATTGGGAAGTAATTAATGAATATGTAATTGACGATACAAAATTAGGTGATAAATTTATTCGAGAACCATATGTTGCTCGATTTCGACACTTGAAACACACTGATGTGAAAATTAATCTTGTCGGTTGCCATACGCAGCCAGAAAAGGCTTACGATGAAATTCAAGCATTAGTGGCTGATGTGTATCCTACAGTAAAGAAGCAATTAGAACAACGAACAAGGGATATAGAACAACCATCTATTCCAGAAAAAAAAAAGGAACCACCCTCTCGTCTTATTAGTTTTTTAATTAATTATATATTTTGTTGTTTTTCTTCTCCTAAAGTTGAAAAGGATACGTCACATGAAAAAACAAGAGATGTAGATAATGAAGGTAAAGAGCCTATAGTTCTAATGGGAGATTTCAATGCATCAGGCTCTTATCTCCGTAAAACGGAACGTGGAGAACTCGATGAATTATTGCAGAAAAATCATTTGCTTTGGGGAATTAGTCATGATAGTGATACTACCGTCGCCACAGGAGACGCAGCCTATGACAGATTTGTATTTGAGCAGAGTACCAAGGATAAATGGATTGGAAACACCAGGATATGGAGATTTGATGATGGTTGGGCAGACAGTATCAAAGAGGATCCAGTTGTGGTCAAGAAAGCCGCAAAACGTGTCACGGATCATTATGCTATTGAGTTCGATTTGAAATTAGTTTAGTTTATTTTCTATTGAAATCTATTTATTATCATATTGTTGATCAGAAAAATGTCCTACTAATTAAGAGCACCAAATTGTTTTTTAATATTTACTTCTATCTTTTATCTATCTAGTTTTTTTTATTTAACCTATATGTCTGAAATGTAAATTGATTTTATTTTTCATGTATATTTTATACCAAATTGTACTTTCATGTAGTAAGAAATTATTTTTAAATAAAGTTTTAATAAAGTAAAGTAGTGTATATCAACATTTTAGTCTTATAGAGTTCTATACCGTATTTGCGCGTAATAGCGGGCCGGGGCATTAATTCGGATTTTGATTTTTAAAAAATTGAGTTTTTTTGCTCAAAATAGCGCCCATGCGCGTCCCGAAATAACGCGCACCCACCTTATATAGCATATATAGTGCTCAAAGCGGGTTCATATCATTTCACCACAATCACTTCAAATACTACATTTACCAAACTAACTTCACCGACAAGCTTATTTGCAAGCGATTAATTTACAGACAAGTTCACTTCGTAGACAGTATATTTCATCAACAGCCCATTTCGCAAGTTTTTTTTTTTATAATTGCTTTAACCTTAACCTAGTTTTAAACCTAACCCTAACGACATTATATAATTAGAATTACTTGTCGGTGATGAAATTATAATTTCGTTTAACGTTCTCTCCCCTCCGCCTCCAAGAGCTCCCCTAAAATTAAACAGGCCAATCCCCCACCACACTTAAGCTTCGTAAGGGAACGTTAAACGAAATTATAATTTCAAACAGCCTTATCTGTAAATTAAGCGTCTGTAAAATAAGCTTGTCGTTGAAGTAAGTTCGATGTCTTTGAAGTGTTTGTCGCTGATCGGGATGCCAGGTATGTCAGAGATGAACTTTGAAGGTTCAAACGAACTAGGTGCACAACGAATTAAAAAGTATCTACTTTGTGATAATAATATTTATATTTATTGAATTGTATTTAATTTACAGATTGGTGGACAGTATGGGTGAATCGGAGCTTGATTCTGATGGTAAAATTTTTATACAACAGCCTGCTCGCGTACTGCGTGTGGCACAAGGTTCCGGTACATCTGTTAAAGAGGTTGAAGAGCTTTTGGTTCAAAATAAGGAATTTCAAGGAATGGTAAAAGGTTTGGTGGCAACAAAGGATTGCTCAAAGGTAAAAAAAGAATTATTATATTTGTTTTACATAATCTTATATTAATGTTAAAATAATGGGTTCCGAAATGGAAGCAAAAACGTCTCTTCAACAATTACAACAGAAAATGGAACAAATGCAGAGGATAAGACGAATATTGTTGTTTAAATTAGGTTCTAAAAATTTATTAAAAATTTATTATATTTTTTATATTTTTTCAGATGCTTCCTCGCGGTTAGGGATGTTAAATTGCGAATCCGGTCCGGTCCGATCCCAGGATCTATTAGGACGGTCCCGGACCTATTAATAAAAACCGTTAATTAATCGATCCCAGGACCGGGTCCTGAATTACAATCCTCAACAGGCTCATCCAATCAAATTGACCATTAAGCCAAATTTTATTTCTTTCGTCAAA